ATATATATATATATATATATACGCAATGCTGTTCTATTTTTCACATTTCATATTCACAGCAGGACCTTTATGAAGTTTGCTGTAAGCCCTAACATGTTGTTTTGCCATGCTGTGGGCGTCACGCCTCCACTCTCTCTCTCTCACTCACAATCTCTCTCTCTCACTCACAATCACTCTCACTCCCTCCCCCGCCCTCTCTCTCTCTCTCCCTCCCTCGCCCAATCACTTGTGCTGGACGGTAGACCGACGGTCTCGATTTTTGCAGGTCAGCGTTCAATGCCCAACCGTCCAAGTAGTTGGGGCCAGAATATGCCTGGGAAATGTTGTCGATGCTGTCATATAAGAGTATGTCAGCTTTCTCAAAGCTCACATGCTTTGAGAAAGACATACATACATACATACATACATACATACATACATACATACATACATACATACATACACACACACACACACACACACACACACACACACACATACACACGACACACGCATAAACCACAAGTCATATGTAATCGAAAAACTGATCCTCATGAAGGATTCGAACCTTAGATAGCCTGGCGCTCCGAATACACTAGCATATCAAGTACTGTGTTCAATATGGCTTGTTGCACATGATTTGTAGTTTATACAAGTTTGTCGTACGTTTGAGGCTCGCGTTTTCCTCAATAGTGAGTGATGTGACGAAAATGATCTATGATCTCTTGCCATGGCGAGTGCTGTCAGGTTGTTGGGTAAATAGTCTCCGATTTCCAATGACTTTTGTTATTTCTGACATCCCTGTGACTCATCATTATACCCTGTTTACAATTATGTCTTCTCTATTGTTCCTTAATTTGAACATTGCTTATATATCTACTTTGTCAATAACCCTTAGTATCTTGTAAGTTGTTGATATGTCTGCGCTATTCCTTCTTTCCTCCATTGTAATGAGGAAGAGTTCTCTCAGTCTTTATTCATAACTCAGTCGCCTTAGCTCACGAACGAGCCTTGTTGCATTTTTTTGGACTTTTTCCTAGTACGGCATTGTGTTCCTCAAGCCAGGGGTTCCATGCCGGGGCAGAACACTCAATAACTGAACAAATCCACAAGGCCGTGACGAGGATTCGAACCTACGTCCGGGAGCATCCCAGACGCTGCCTTAATCGACTGAGCTACGACATGGTCAAAAAGAGTTGAAACCGAAGTTCTACTGAACTTACTGGATCCTGCAGCCTCTCCGAGCATTTGATCCATCACGCTATTGTGATTTATGTGTGTAACTCAATAACTGGTCTCACAAAGGATCTATACAGCGGGATCATTGTCCAACCTCCTGAAGGATAACCGGACGTTTGCCAGTATGGCATATACAGCCCTCGTTATCCTGGTGATGAGTGCCTCTGGTGTCAGGTGTCGCGTTATGTCCACTCCTGAGTGTCTCTCTCTTTCATATGTTGGAAGTTGTCTCCTGTTCATCATGTACTGTACTTAAGGTCTTCTTGCTCCGTCTTCTATCCTCATAATCTTGCATTTGTCAGGTTCAGTCTAGTAGCCGTTTCTCAGACGATCTCTTAGAGACTGTCTTGCTCATCTTGTAATGTATTGCATTCCTTGTTTGTGATTCGCCTGCTTATCTTAGCATCGTCAGCAAACATGGATAAGGATGAGCTTACTTTCTGTTAGATAGTTTACATATATTCGGAAGAGGATGGGCCCTAATATCGAGCCCTGTGGCACTCCACTCAGTACCTCTCTCCATTCTGATTGTTCTCCTCATACTATGACTCTTTTGTCTTCTTCCTGAATGGTACTCAGGACGTACCATTCAGGTACTTCAGGTATCAACTTTTTTTTTCCGACACACCAGCATGTTGTTTCAAGAATGCACAGGAGTCGCTTGTGAGGAAGTCGTCCTGAGCTTTCTGGCAATCCATGAAAATGCCGCATCGACGAGTCTTATTTGGATTAGTTTAATATCTTACATGGTATACTTGTTAGTGTTACCTGTCACTGGAGGTAACTGTCACTGTCACTTACAGGAGGCACTGTAGTCCAGTGCCTCCTGTCTTCCTCCTTTCTTGTATATAGGCATCACGTGTCACTCTCCAAATGTTAGGTTTGTATGTGTGTGTGTGTGTGTACTCACCTAGTTGTGCTTACGGGGGGGGGGGGGGTTGAGCTCTGGCTCTTTGGTCCCGCCTCTCAACCGTCAATCAACTGGTGTACAGATTCCTGAGCCTACTGGGCTCTATCATATCTACATTTGAAGCTGTGTATGGAGTCAGCCTCCACCACATCACTGCCTAATGCATTCCATCTGTTAACTACTCTGACACTGAAAAAGTTCTTTCTAACGTCTCTGTGGCTCATGTGGGTACTCAGTTTCCACCTATGTCCCCTTGTTCGCGTACCACCCATGTTAAAAAGTTTATCCTTATCTACCCTGTCAATTCCTCTCAGAATTTTGTAGATAGTGATCTTGTCTCCTCTTACTCTTCTGTCTTCCAGTGTCGTGAGGTGCATCTCACGCAGCCTTTCCTCGTAACTCATGCCTCTTAGTTCTGGGACTAGTCTAGTGGCATACCTCTGAACTTTTTCCAGCTTCGTCTTGTGCTTGACAAGGTACGGGCTCCATGCTGAGGCCGCATACTCCAGGATTGGTCTTACATATGTGGTGTACAAGGTTCTGAATGACTCCTTATACAGGTTCCTGAAGGCTGTTCTCATGTTAGCCAGCCTCGCGTATGCCGCAGATGTAATTCTTTTTAGGAAAATCTTCAGGATACAGGTTTGGTGTGATATCAATCCTAGATCTCTCTCTGTTCGTTTCATGAAGTACTTCATCTCCCATTCGGTATCCTGTGACTGGCCTCCTGTTTCCACCACCAAGTTTGGTGGTGGAAAGTTTCCACCACCTCCGAGTAAATTGCATTTACTCGGGATGAACTTTAGTAGCCATTTGTTGGACCATTCATTCAGTCTGTCTAGGTCATCTTGTAGCCTCCTACTATCATCCTCTGTTTCAATCCTCCTCATAATTTTTGCATCATCAGCTAACATTGAGAGGAACGAGTCTATTCCCTCTGGGAGATCATTTACATATATCAGAAACAGTATAGGTCCAAGGACTGAACCTTGTGGGACTCCACTGGTGACTCCTCTCCAGTCTGAGACCTCACCCCTCACAGTGACTCGCTGTCTTCTGTTGCTTAGGTACTCCCTTATCTAATGGAGTACCTTCCCTTTCACTCCTGCCTGCATCTCCAGCTTTTTCACTAACATCTTTTGTGGTACTTTGTCAAAGGCTTTCTGGCAATCCAAAAATATTCAATCTGCCCACCCTCTCTCTTTCGTGCCTAATTTTTGTTGCCTGGTCGTAGAATTCAATTAACCCTGTGAGGCAGGACTTGCCATCCTTGAATCCATGTTGATGCTGTGTTACAAAGTTCTTTCACTCCAGATGTTCCACTAGCTTTTTTCGCACTATCTTCTCTATCAGCTTGCATGGAATGCAAGTTAATTTAAGGACACAGGCCTGTAGTTCAGTGCCTCTTGTCTCCTGTGTGTGTGTGTGTGTGTGTGTGTGTGTGTGTGTGTGTGTGTGTGTGTGTGTGTGTGTGTGTGTGTGTGAGTGCATGCGTATATTCACCGCTTTGTGTAGTGTATTTTTGTGTCAACAGGTTTTTGCTTCATGGCAGTGTTTCGTATTATTTCCCGCTCTCTGTATTGTGTGTTGTTGTGGGGAGGTGAGCTGGTCCCCAGGGTGCCGGGCACCGACTGTCTTCACTACTGCTCGTAGAGAATAATGTAAACATTGTCTTTAAGTATTATTTAGACAAAAGAATTATACAAAAGTACCGTTACTATTGCCACGCTCTTCACCTACTGGGTGCACGGGTTAGCCCGACCTACACTGTATTCTACAGCTGCTGTATTTACGGAGCGCTCACGGCAATGAGTTGACGTGTTTGGCAAGTTGACGTCGCTCGTCAGTGAAATGGTGAGACAAATTCCGCCAATTAACTTTGGGAGTAAAAGAGGTGTAGTTCATCTTCCCAACTCCCCTCCACCCACACACACACACACACACACACACACACACACACACACACACACACACACACACACACACACACACACACAGTTACAGGATGTTTCTTTTATCATGTTATTGCGTCGCATCAGAGTATAAGTAGTGGTACTTAAGAGTAATACTTTCCTACTAAATGTTACAAGGGGAACCACTTTAACAACCATGCAGGTTGTTAACGACCCACACGGCGAGGCTCGTCCGGTGGCGGGAATTCTGTTGGCCAATCAGGATCACCGGGCGAGGCAATGAGTACAGGTCAGAACCTGGGCAGGGCAGTACTCTACACCCTTCCTCCCTGTCGACACGGCCTAGTTGTGTGACCAGCCGTAGGGCGAGATTGTGACGAGGTGATCCACTCTCTTCTGAACTACGACCCGTGGAAGATGGTGACTGTCAACGCCGTAGGCAGTGTTGGACATCTACCGTCGACATCAGGATAATAATATTGAGCCACGAGAAGGTAGAAAAGTTCTACAGACGATTGCGTTAGCTGTATGTGTATACCGTCGAGTGAGTGTAGTTGGCTGAGGGCCTCAAGAACTGTCTTGCTATTACGTAGTGGACACAGACAAGAGAAATACAAGGGTTCGGAAGAGAACCATTATCACTACTGAGTAACGCTGCTCTCTTTGTTATTGTACTCAATATATATATATAACTGTACATCTAATGTACAGTGTCCAGTAATGTGTATATATAACTCGACATATAAGGTACACACGTTTTTGGGTAATATAGATAAATATCCATGATAAAATTTTACCTATATTTTATTTTGTCCTTAGTCAGGGCTCAGTTATGTCCGTGTGTCACACCTGACAACCGGTCAGGCTAAGGACGACGACACCTGACTAAGTCGGAGAGGACTACATTCGGATAAACCACCACACACACACGTGGATAGGGTCACTAATGACATACTTACAGTTTAGCAAGGTTGGTGAGGGGCTTGAAGACTCCTCTAGGTATGGACCTCAGCCCGTTGTTCTCGAGGTGCCTGTCAACACCACATGACAGGAGGTTAGTCAGTAATTACCCAAGTGTAGTTACAGGAGGAGAACTGCGCCTCCTGCTCTAAATTTAATACATCATTAATTATCTTGGTCTATTTTGAGAAACGTGGGAATCTTGGAGCACTAACAAGTTCATATAATGTGTGTGTGTGTGTGTGTGTGTGTGTGTGTGTGTGTGTGTGTGTGTGTATTTACTATTAGTGTTTAATATTTGTGACTGGAGAATCGAGCTATTAGCTCTTGGACCCCGCCCTTTTAACCAATCTATTTTTCGTCTATGTCTACTACATATATTTATCTCAAATACACGCGTGCACACACAAAGAAACACAGTTTCTTTCACCCTGATACACCTGTTCACCTAGCAGTAAATAGGTACATTTGAGTTACAGCTACTACGGGCTGCTTCCTGAGGATGTGTACTCAACTAGGTGAGTACACATCCTCAGGAAGCAGCCCGTAGTAGCTGTAACTCAAAGGTACCTATTTACTGCTAGGTGAACAGGTGTATCAGGGTGAAAGAAACTCTGCCTATTTGTTTCTGCCTCGGCCGGGAATCGAACCCGGGCCCCTAGTACTACGACAAACCGAGCGCTGTCCCACTCAGCCGCGAGGCCCATGTGTGTGTTCGTACTCACCTAGTTGTACTCGCCTAATTGTGCTTGCGGGGGTTGAGCTCTGACTCTTTGGTCCCGCCTCTCAACTGTCAATCAACTGGTGTACAGGTTCCTGAGCCTACTGGGCTCTATCATATCTACATTTGAAACTGTGTATGGAGTCAGTCTCCACCACATCACTGCCTAATGCATTCCATCTGTTAACTACTCTGACACTCTATCATTTGCGTGTGCGTGTTTGAGTTGCATACGTTTACGTGTGTGTGAACTGGCGTGTAATCACCTAGATATGCTTGCAAACTACCAATGCCAAAAGTCACTGCCATCAGTAGTTCAGTGCAATGACTTTTTCACCGGTTTTTCCATTGTTTACAATCAAAACTGTGCATCGTCTTGGCCCCAACTTCCTCATCCAACACAAAACCACTTATGTATGACTCTTAAACTCAAGACGTTCCTTCTGACAGCTCTGTGTTCTCAGTTCTCCAATGTGAACAGAACTTCTCTATCTACTTAATCAATTCCAGGTAGAAGAATCTTGTACGTCGTTATCATGTCTGCCTGATCTCTTCTCTACTGTGGACCCGTTATATCTGGACCTTTTGTAAGTTTCCATGTCTTGAAGAAAAAGTCTTTCACATACTCACAAAGTCTTGCGTGTAATGGTGCGAGTTCCTGAGAATGTGTGTGTGTGCGCCTCTAGTGTCACCTGTGAAGTTATGTATCTACACTATCATTATCTGGGACCTTAATTCTCACTGAGTGTTCCTAACCTCTCGCCCTTGCACTTGTCTGGGTTCAAGTCTAGTAGCCATGTCTCAGGCCAGCGAATGGAGACTCGGGATGATCTCGCCAGGTATTGGTCCTGCTAACTTCTAATCCTCACTAGAGGGCTACTCTGAATAGTCTGGCTGGGGGCTACTCACAATAGAGTCAGGCTGGGGGCTACTCACAAGTCAGGCTGGGGGCTACTCACAATAGAGTCAGGCTGGGGGCTACTCACAATAGAGTCAGGCTGGGGTATCGTGTGAAGGAGTCTGGCGTGAGGACGATGCTATTGTTTCCCAACAGTCTGGAAAGGTGAACAAAATAATTAATCTAGGACACGGATCCACACTCACCCGGACACGGGTTCACCCCTGACGTTCATACTACTATATAGTCACACGAGGAGAATGTTGCTAAATGAACAAGAGTGGAAGCTACGCCAAAGGATAAGACGACACCCAGAATGACAAAGAAGTGTGAAAAGAAAGCAAAATCTCCCAGCACACGTTTTTAACATTGAACCAGAACTGTCCCCAGATCAATGGCTTCCGGCGGAACAGGCGCCACCAGAAGACTGAGATAGAAGTAACACCAGAGGAAGTATAGAAACACGTAGAGGAGCTGGAGGTGGTGAAGGTTTACCCAGAGCCTGACAGCATCTCACCAGAGATCCAAATAGAGGCAGCTATAGCATTGTTGACCCATTCCTATAGTCTTCAACTCCTCACTAAACATTGGGGGTACTACCTGACATTTGGAAAGTGTCAAACGTGGTACCTATACACAAGAAATCCGTGTCCTATACATATGTATACCTATGTATACCTATACACAAGAAAGGAGGACGACAGGAGGCCCTGGACTACTGACCTGTATCACTAACAAGTAAGATATTCCCTGTAAGATATTAGAGAAACTAATCAAAAGTCCCCATCATCATTTAGAACATATGTAAACTTTGTTTCTAAGAATGAACATAGATTCAGCAAAGGAAATTCTTGCTTGATCAACTTATTAAGAGTTCTGT